GGGCCCATTTGACAAAATTTGAAGTTTTGGGGAAAGTTGACTTTTGGCAATTTTGCAAAAATGTCCAACTTCAACAATGCATAACTTCTTCAATTTTGAACTTTTGGAAGTGTTCTTGGACTTTTTAGAAATCTTGAGGTATACTCTAACCAACCCTTTTTGTCTCATCTCATTTTGATATTCCATTCTCAAGTTATAAGCTTTGGAAAAAAAAGGTGTTTTTGTTGACTTTCAAAAATGACCTATAATGTCCAAATTTATAACTTCTTGTGAGTGCATTTTTTATCTTGGGATATGAAGATGGATTGTAGTAAATCGCATCCTCTTCAAAATGAGCTTTGGATAGGTCATTTCTCATAAAGTATGAGAAAGTTATGCTTGGTCAAAGTTGAGTTGACTTTTCCTACAAAACCCTAATTTAACAACTTTTGAGTCTTGATGAATTTTCAGCAATCCTTGATGAATCATGATCAACCCTTTATCAAATGATGAAATATCCTTCAAAATGAGAATATTGACAAAAAATCTTGAAGTTTGACTGTATTTGGGTCATAGTTGACTTTTGCCCTAGCATAGTCGATTTTTGGACCCTTGAGCAATTGACTGAGCAAACATCCTCTGCAAGACTTGAAACTTGCCATGGATGATCTTGAGAACATATTAGGAAATTGGAGAGCACTTGAGGTCATTTATACTCAAGGATCTTTATCCAACACAAAACCCTAATTTGGGGTAGACTGCCTTAGGAGATATCTTGTCTGATCAACTCTTGAGCAAACTTGAGCAACTTGGAGATTTTTCTTGCAATATTTTGAGAAACATGAGAGGGCAAATTTTGGGGTACAACACATAGCCATGAAGGCAGGTTATAAATCATAAGAATCATAGGCCATGTGGTATAGGAGATACTTTGAAGACCATGCGGGTTCATTCCATCAGTAGATAAAGCCAAGCGAAAGTTTCTTGCTTCTTCTCCAAAATCAGGATAATCATAATCAATTTTCGACCACTGTGGTGAATCTTCCGGATATCGATACTTTCCATCAATAATTCTTTTATCTGCATGCCAAGTATGGTGTCTTGCATCGGTTTCACTATGAAACATGCGCCTAAATCTCGGAATTATAGGAAAATACCATAAGACTTTTGCTGGAGACAATTATTTCTTATATCGAGACAAACCGCATTTAGGGCACTCATTTAACGATGTATATTCGTTTCGAAACAAAACTCGATCGTTTAGACAAGAATGTATCTTATCATAACTCATGCTAATAGAGCACAACATTTTTTTGGCCTCATATGTTCGATTAGGAAGAACATTATCCTCCGGAAGCATATCTCTCATAAGGGCTAATAACTTTGTGAAACTTTTATCCGACCATCTATTGCCCGCCTTTAAGTTGTACAACTTTAATACCGCAGTCAGTCTTGTGAATTTAGTGCAACCTTTATACAACGGTTTCTCTGCATCGCTTACCAATCGCTTAAACATTTTGGGATAATTCTGAAGATCTTCTTCAAGTGCTTCTGCAATCTCTTCGACTCGATCAAAATCGTATGTATCCGTGTCCTTGTCGTCTAAAGCATAGGCCGTACTACTTTTCTCCCCTGGTTCAACATTTTCGTTACTTTTTTCACCGTGAAATATCCAACACGTATAACTTCTATCAATTCCATGCATCAGTGAATGCGATTTCAATCCATATGCGTCAACCTGACCCACATAACAACAACCCAAGCAAGGACACTTCATTCGACTAGGGTCTTTGGCGTATTCAACAACAAACTTAACGAATTCCATTATCCCATTCTCGTACTCTTTGGACAACTGATCAACAGACATCCATTTTTTATCCATTGTTTTACTACTAAGTGTCGTTCAAAATATTGGAACGGAACAAAAACACTGAACAGAACGGGCGCTATTTCGGTTACGCAGAAATATTATAACAATAAACGATAACACTACATAGTAACAACTAAAGACTAACATGCACAAGCACACTTGAAATCCTACAAATAATAAGAATCAGTAATGTTGAATCTGAACATGACTTACCAAAGAAAGAAGAGAAGTTATTGGTGGCTGACGGTGGATGATGTTGCTATGATGTTCTTCGAATCGGTGATGGTCTTCGACTAACTACACATAGAAGAAAAACATTAGTGTTCCATACTTGTAAAATTTTGTATAGAGTTTTTATCAGGTTTGAATAAATAACAAATAAAAATAGCTTAGTCCAAGTAAACTAGGACAACAACAGAAATACATAGACTGTGTGTATGTGAAGTTCAAGTGTGCTGTCTAACTCTATTTCCCAATTTAAAATTCACAGTATAACCGCAATTTAAAATCATCTAAGACAACAACTTTGTCATTATCCATGGCATTTCAAGTAGTATATACAATTTTTATGAACGAAAATTCGAACTCTCTGTTTCTATTTGTACCCAAGCAATCCACAATCTCTTTTTATAGCAAAATAATATAATAAAATATTATTGATTCAAATAGTCATACATAGTTTTTGCCACAATATCTCTATTTTTATTTTGTACCCAACGATTTCGCAAAGAGAAGGAGAGAAGAGAAAGAGAGAAGAGTACCTTGAAAGTGACGGTGGAGGACGGCGGTCAGCCGTGGAGAGAGAGCCTCGTTTTGCAGAGAGAGACGGTGGATGATGGTGGACAGTAGTGGAGATAGAGCATTGAAAAGGGTTTCGTGTGAGGGAGACAATACTGATTCTAATCGTTCTGTGAAAAGAGAAACAATATTGATTCTAATTTTTAATTTCTAATTATATGACTTTAGACAACGCTTTTGAGAAAACGCTGGCTAATATGGGTCTTTAGCAACACTTTTGAAAAGTGCTGGCTAATGTGGTCCTTTAGCAGCACTTTTGAGATTTTTTTAAAAATTTATATGACTTTAGACAGCGCTTTTGAAAAGAGCTGTCTAAAGTGGTCCTTTACCAGCGCTTTTGATAAAGAGCTTTCTAAAGCAACACTTTTAGCAGTGCTTTTTAAAAGTGTTGTCTAAGATCACATTTTTAGCAGCGCTTTTATTTATTATTTTATACCGTTTCTGTGTTTTTTTTTAATTCACTTATAGCAGCGCTTTTGTATAAAAGCGCTGTCTAATGTGCGCTGTTAAAAGCCCTTTTGGCGTAGTGCATCCATTATGCTCCCTCTCAAGCGGAAGCTCTTTCATCCACATACTTGTATCGTCGTTGAGAGACAATCTTATCTCATCATGGACACTTCAATGGGACACACCGCTTAACCTATCACCTTAAGAATTTGGGTTAATATGTGGTGTCTCTCTCATTTTTTTGGGTGAGTCTTTGATCTTTAGGTAAGTATTTGGTCCAATGTGTATGTTTCGCCCTCAATGATGACTCATTAGTGGTATCAGAGTCCAGTTCAAGTAAAGGATTGGCTCCTTGTGTCGAAAGTCTTCTTGACATGGTGGTCAAGTGGCTGTCCTGTTGAAGTGCCCGTAATGAGATAAGGATGTCTCTCAATGGCGGTACAAGTATGTGGATGAAAGAGCTTCTGCTTGAGGGAGAGTATAATGGATGGATTCACACTTGAGGAGGAGATTGTTATGAAACAAGTGTGAATTCTAAGTTCCAAATTGCTTAGAAAAGTGAAGGTTGAGCACTTCATAAATGAGATGACTCATACACCTATCACCTTAAGTTTTTTGGTGAATATGTGGGCTCTCTCACATTTATTTGAGTGAGTCTTTGATCTTTAGATAAGTGTTTGATCCAATATATATGTTTCTCCCTCAATGATAACCCATCAGCTAGAAATAATAGCTTGTGCTTTTGTGAGTATTATTATTCACCATATAAAATTTATTTGTTGACGAAATGACAACCATCAAAATATGAGCGTGGATATCATGTAATGTAATGATAATTATGTTGAACATTGTATCTGTCAATATTATTGATTCATTAAAGCAGCTGATACATTTATAATTTATAATTAGATATACTAATGATTTATAGTGAATATTTGTTATTATTCTAAGTATTTTAACACTTCGTTCAACTTATATGGATTTAACACACATACAACTTTCTTTAAAAGAGACTTATATGGCATTCGTCTATGTTGAAAAGATTTGCTTTCTTAAGTTTTAAAAGTCACTCTAGTGTATAGTTTGTTTAATATGTTTGAGTTTTCATGTAAAATTTGAATATGTATAATTTATGAGTCACTATAAATAAATATGTCGAATAGCCTTATGTACCTAATATAAATATGTAGTCATTCTGAACACATTCTGAGTCATTTTAAAAACATTTTATTTAGCCATGAATCCATTTAAATATATATGGTTCAAAATTTGTTCCATTTAAGTTTTGTTATAAATATATAAAACTTTGGCTTTTGGTTATTGCAATTTAAATTATGGTACAAATGTATCATTTAGATTTTATTTATAAACTAATATATAATTAATTAATTATAGTTTTGGTCTCTTTATTTTGTACGAAAATATCAATAATTTTAAATTCAAAAGTATGAAAGAGAACTATTTAAATTTAAAATAAAGGAATAAAAAAAATTAAATTAAAAATAATAGAATCACTTTCAAAAGTACAATGTTGAATGCTTGGAAGCTGATGAACTCTGTGGAGATATAAGAGCTGAGTAAAAACCTGTTCCTTTTCAAGTTTTCTTCGAAAAGGGATATGGAGTATATCTTGAAGAGCGGACCTTGGAGCTTTAACAGAGCTTTGCTGATTCTGGAAAGGATATAAGGAGAAGAACATCCCTCAGATTTAAACATGCATTTTGGTATTTTCTGGGTTAGAATTTATGAGCTTCCTTTAATACTGATATCTGAAGCGATGGCGAGCAAATTAGGAAACATTATTGGAGAGTTTGAAGGTATGGACCAGAAGGAAGGCCACCACAATGGAAGATTTCTTAGAATAAAGGTGAAGATGGATCTGAAGAAACCCTTATAGAGAGGAACAATGGTGAAATTTAAGGAAAAAAATGTGAAAGTCCATTTTAAATATGAGAGGCTACCTACTTTCTGTTTTGCTTGCGGTCGAATTGGGCGCCAGCTGAAGGATTGTGAGACTCTAGAAGAGCTGAATGAAGAAGGATTTGAAGAAATTGAAGAACAAGAGCTTGCATTTGGTCAACGGATACAAGCATCACCTCTTCCAAAGACTGTTGAAGACCAGAAGAAAATGGAAACCAGCTCTGAAGACTGCAGTAAAAACCTGTTTAACGCTTCATCTGGGAAAAGAAGGTTTGATTCAAATGCAAAGGAGATATCTGAAGAACCAGAAGTTCAACAACAGAAGCGAGGTGAAGGGTCAAAGGAAGTAGCAGAAGGTTTGCAGTCAGCAAAGAAAAGGGGAACACTCGACATCGAAAAGGTGGCAGAATCATTTGGAGCAGTGGCATTAACAACAGAGACGTTAGGAAGAAATTCAGGCATCATTAGGAAGAAATGGACCAGAAAGAGAGGCAACCAGAAGAAGTTAGGGCCAGCCAACAAAGGAGAAAGGAGATGTGTAGAAGGGACAAAAAGGCAGCTGATAGAAGTAATGGTTATGGAAGGCTCTATTGAGGAGTGCGGCAGTGGAGAGAAGAAGAGAAAATAAAGTATGACAGATGAAGAGGTATACAAAATGAGACCAGAGGTGGTGTTGGAAACCCAACACCGCCTACATCAATGAAACTCGTAAGCTGGAACTGCAGGGGTTTGCGGAATCCCCGAGCAGTTCGAGCCTTGTCAAGGCTCATCCGAAAAGAAAATCCCTCTCTTATCTTTGTTATGGAATCCCGTCTCAAGGAGCAGGAGTTTGGTTCTTTCAAACATAAATGCGGCTTTGATCATGTGTTTGGTGTTGGGTGTCATGGGGAAGGGAGAGCGCGAACAGGAGGTTTAGCAATGATGTGGAGAGATTCTTTAAAGATAACAGTCACCAATTAGTCTTCTAACCATATAAATGTGGAGATCATTGATGATGAAGGAGAAGATTCGTGGATGTTAACAGGGTTGTATGGCATTCCGGAGGATGGCAACAAAAGGAAAACATGACAGTTATTGAAAGGGCTGAAGGTGAACAACAATGTGAAATGGTTGTGTGTTAGGGAATATAATGATATCCTGGCGTAAAATGAGAAGAAGTTAGGGATTAACAGAACTTCTTGCCAAATGAATTGGGGCAGGGAGGCAGTGGCTGAATATGGCTTACAAGACATAGGATTCGATGGATACCCGTTTACTTGGACCAATGGGCGCAAGGGGAAGATCAACATTCAATGTAGATTGGATAGAGGTTTTGCTAATGAAGCTTGGATTTCGAGACTCCGCCCTATCAAGGTAACACACCTTTTGCATTGTGGATCTTATCACGCGGAGATTAGAATTAAGTTAGAGAGTTTTTTAAGTGAAGAAGAAAACAAATGCAATCATATCTTCAAGTTTGAAGATATATGGGCGAGGGACGATAGATGTGAAGGTTTAGTGGAACAGAATTGGAAGGGGAATGATTTTACTGGTTACAATAAAGTTATGTCTGTGTCGAGAGTTGTGGAGGAATTCAAGGAGTATAGGTGTGGGAACATTCAAAAAGACCTCATACGAATTGAAGAGATGCTGAAGGAGGAGGCTAACTGGGATAGTAGTGAGGACAATATCTGGAATTATAAAGCTATTGAGAGCCAAAGGCAGAATCTCTTAAAGGTGGAAGAGATCATGTGGAGGAAGCACAGTAGGGCCCTTTGGTTATAAGAAGGTGGCAAAAACTCTAAATTCTTCCATAGGAAAGATGATCACAGGAGAAGGGTGAATAGAATAAGCAAGCTAAAGGACGAGGATGGCTGGTGGTGGAGGGGGAGATTGCATTGTGAGAGAATTATTACCAATTATTTCAAAGATATTTTCTCAACCTCAAACCCGAGTGGTATTATGGAAACGTGTCTCGTTGTGAAAGATAAACTCAGTTTGGATAACAAGGAGTGGTGTGGGAGAGAATTTACGGAGTCAGAAGTGGAAGAAGCGCTTTTCCAAATGCACCCCTTGAGAGCACCTCGTCCGGATGGGCTCCCTACCCTAGATTCTTATTTCAAAAGTATTGGCATGTGGTGGGGGAAGACATAAAGAAGATGGTCCTGGTTGTCCTTAACGATAAGAAAGATCCAGCGGAGATGAATAAAACCTTCATCGTGCTCATCCCTAAATGCAAAAACCCTAAGTCTCTGAAAGAGTTTAGACCAATTAGTTTGTGCAATATGGTGATGAAGATTGTGTCGAAATCGATTGCAAACAGGCTGAAAGTGGTTCTTCCCGGAATTATTGATGAGGAGCAGAGCACTTTTGTGAAAAGGCGTTTAATCACAGACAATGCTTTGGTAGCGATGGAGTGCTTTCATTGGATGAAGAAGAAGACGAAAGGAAGGAAAGGCGTGATGGCTCTTAAGCTGGATATGGAAAAAGCTTTTGATAGAATATAGTGGAAATTTGTGGTTGGAGTTCTAGATTCCATGGGATTTCCAGAGAGTTTTGTTAAGCTAATCTACTCCTGCATCTCTTTGGTGTCTTTCCAAATCCTTTTCTATGGAAGTCCTAGTCTTTCTTTTAATCCAGAAAGAGGACTCCGTCAAGGAGATCATTTATCACCTTACTTGTTTGTTTTATGTGCAGATGTTTTCTCTGGCCTAATTAAGGAGGTTGTTGGTAATCATCTAATTCACGGTATCCGTGTTGCTAGGAAAATCCCCGCATCTCTCACCTTTTCTTTGCGGATGACAATATTCTGTTCTTTAGAGCTAGCCAGAAGGAATGTGAGAAAGTCCTTGAGATACTTGACAAATACCAGAGAGTTTCGGGTCAGATGGTTAACTTTGACAAATACCAGAGAGTTTCGGGTCAGATGGTTAACTTTGACAAGTCGGAAGCCTCCTTTAGTTGAAATGTGCGGGAAGAAGTCAAAACTCTTATCCATAATAGGATGGGAGTAAAGACTATTGTATCTCATTCGAGGTACCCGGGGTTTCCAATTATGATTGGAAGATCCAAGAAGGAGGTGTTTTCGCTTGTGGTGGAGCGCATTTGGAAGAAAGTCAAAGGTTGGAAGGAATGTTTTCTCTCAAGAGCTAGAAAATAAGTCCTCATTAAAGTTGTAGCGCAAGCTATTGCATCTTTCATTATGAGCTGTTACAGAATTCCAGTCGAAGTGTGCAATGATATTGAGAGGATTCTAGCTAGATTCTGGTGGGGAGCGAAAGGAGGTGAATGAATGATACACTGGATGAGTTGGGAAAATCTGGCGAAAGCAAAAAAGTTTTTGGGGTGCATAGGCTTTAGGGGGATTGCGGAATTTAATTTGAGCCTCTTGGGAAAGCAGTTCTGGAGGCTTCAAAGAGATGAAGGGTCCCTGCTTGGGAGAGTGTCGAAGAGTATATACTTCCCAAATTGCAATATTCTTGAGGCTAAAGTGGGTTACACTCCAAGTTACGCTTGGAGAAGCGTATTTGTTGCTAAGGAGTTGGTAACTGAAGGGTCTAGATGGCGTATTGGCGATGGGTTGCAGGTTTACGTGTGCAAGGAAAATTGGATCCTGAATAGCAGTGGTTTCAAATGCCTCAGTGACCCAAAAGATTCTGATATGGAGATGACATTTTATGACCTTATAATACATGAGATATGCTGCTGGAATAGAGATCTTGTGGAGAAATTATTCAGCCCGGGGGAAGCGATTCAAATCATGAGCATTCCATTATCGATGATCAGATTGGGTGATGAGAGGATTTGGCATGGTGAAGCAGATGGATACTATTCAGTTAAATCTGCTTATAAATTAATTTCTAATAAGAATGTTGCCAGTAAAAGTGGCCTGTCGATTCATGCTCACTCTAACTTTTGGAAGAAGCTTTAGTGCATTCCTGTTCATGTTCGAATCAAGAACTTTATGTGGAGACTGTGCATGAACCTCCTCCCAGTTAAAAGAAATTTGATAAAGAGGGGATGTGGTATTGAATCTTTATGCCCATTTTGCTGCGATCATCCTGAATCTTCCCCTCACATTTTTCGGCACTGTCGTTTTGCGAAATTAGTCTGGTTCACGTTGCCGATGGGTATAAGGGTTCCTGAAAATCTGTCCTTAATTGGTTGGGTGAAATCTTTCTTGGATTGTCCTAAACCATCTTTGGTCCCGGTGGTTTGCACCACATTATGGAAATTTTGGTATGCTAGGAACTCTAAGGTCTTTGACAATAAGGACCTGATGCCTAAAAATGTTACGCAGGAGGCAATTGATCACTCAAGAGAGTACGTGAGTTCTGCGGGTCAACAACACGCTAAGAACTCTAGGCTGCTTCGGTAGGACCACCCAGCTATGATAAGATGACCTCGACCCTTTATTAAAATAACTGTAACCTTTCAACAAAGTCAATGTCCAACGACTAGGATAAGAGACAACCACTTTTATCTTATTAATTAGTACCAAGTAGATCAATTATTCTTTGAAAAGTCATTTTTACACCTTAGAGTGAAAATGATTATCTGGATATGACAAATATAAAAAAATAAAAAAATTGCATTGCCAATATCCATATGGTTGTATCATGCTTAACCTTATGCCTACATGAACTAAATGTGAAGAATAATACAATCCAACACGAGGAATATGATTCACTCCAAGAAATTAAAAGCATTTGCACATAATTATTCATTATTTAAACAAACCAATAAATTTTGTGTGGGGAAAAAGAAAATTAACAACCAAAACAAATGGATTTCAGCATAATTAATTATATATATAATAAGACATCAATTTAACTTTAACGTTAGGAGATAAAATAAAGACAATAAAAATAATAACTTGTTTATTCAGTTAGTTTACACGATCTATTCAGAAGAAGAGAGAAGTTATATGATTCATTATTGAAGAGTTGTTACAAAAGATTACAATTACGTTATAAAAAATAGTTGTTCAATTTCACAAGAAGAAATCCTATTTTATACGAAAGTATTTGTTAATCTCTCATACTCCTTATATATGAATCACACAATATCAAGGTATTTAGAAGTGTTTCTCAATCCTCCATTAGATATCTCAAAGTTATTCTTGAATTCCAAAAAATACATTTTAGGAGTTTACTCTTGCCTGTCTAAGATTACCACTAGGATTCTCAAACCCTTCTTTCCGTCTTCAGTTCTAAAGTTATAAAGGTTGTGATAGGAAGCAAGCAAGAGATACATGTTTATAATAAATGAAACCAAATGTATCCATAACGAGGTCAAAATATAACCTATAAATGAATGGATCCACAAACTAAACAACGAAGTCCAATACAAACGAAACGAGAAAATTGAACTCGAGCTCTGAAGAATAATACTGCTCGGGGGACCGTAACCCATTAATGTGTCATAGACACTGCACTACCATCATTTTGCCACATTGGCTCCACTACTATCTTCACTTTCCTCGACTCCATCGTAATATTAACTTTACCCTGTCGCGCGAGTTTTGTAGCTTGCTTCGTACCATACTAGTTCTATCGCCATCCTCGCTAAGCACTACCTCACATATATGCTTCCTTTTTCGACTTCCAGGATAATTAGTGACTTTTGACATCTTGAAATATGTTTTCTTACTCTCCACTTTGACTTGAAACTATGCTGATACTAATTTATCCATCAACCACTTTGTTGCTCTATGCTAATTCAACAGTTATTGAACAATTCTTATGAAGGTCACGCCTCGCTGAACCTTGATCTTAAAACTTGCATCCACTTCCTCCCAATAACCTTTTTCCGCTTCAGTAATCTAACAAGCACATAAGTCCGATTATTACAACAAAACAAAGCATTCATCTTCGGCAAATATGGCGATGAGTTATGGTGCTCAATTTAAAAGCTCTCGCATGATTCTTTCATATTTTTGTTGTTTAGGTTGGTGGAATTATCGGTAATAATCTTACTTAGGAGTCCATAGTAATAAATAGTCCCTCTTTTGATGAACATGGCATCTACTTGTCTTGTCACATTGGCGTAAGAAGCAGCTTTAATCCATTTTGTGAAGTAATCAATAGATAACAAGATAAAATGTACTTTTGAAGATTTTGGTTAAATGAGTCCAATCATGTCAAATTCACCGCTTAGAGAATTGACATGGTGCTGATAAGATGTTCTAGGGAGTTCGTGGTACATGCACTTTGTTAGCGTAAATTTGGCATATGTGGAACTTCTTTACATAGCTCAAACAATCAACTTCCATGGTCAATCAATAATATTTGCTCCGTAATTTACCTATCCATTGTATGACCACTTGCGTGAGTCCCAAAGGAATCCTCATGGATTTCTTATCCATTTGAAATACATACTGGGTATTTCTGGTTCTTGAAATAACATTTGATATCGTGAAACCGGTGCTTACCGTCAAGTTCAGCTTCGACCGATAGACATAATGTTAGTTTATCTTGTCTTTGGATTTTTACAAATGGATTCTCTTGATCACTGCTTATTTTAAACATGGATGATAAGGTATCCAAGGCGTCAGCTAGTTGATTGTCTTCTCGAGGAATGTGATGGAAATTAATATTATTAAAGTGGTCCAACACTTCCGTGATGTGATTGATGGGAAAAATAACAAGTGTACTATTTTTTTCTTGCAGTAATAATGATAAATTCCCCGAATGTCGATCTCAAGGACTGCATGCAATTATCGAGTTCAATTCACGTTCAATTAAACAAAAACTTTAACCGGAGTTTTGGTTTAGGAATTGTCACTTAACAGATATAAAAATAATTTGAATATAAATTAGAGCTTTTTCACAGATATGGGTGTCATACCCAAAATTTTCCCGCCCTTTTATCACTACGGTCGAAATTAATTTCAAACATAGATTTTTATAAAATTCTTTTGATTTACATTAATATTTTGGGGTTTTATAAATATTCGTTCTCAGGTCCAGTTAAAAATATAATAATTTATTTCAAGGTTATTTGTATTTTTGAATAAACAAATATTTGCTCGTCTTCGTGTATTTTCAATTGGCTTTTTATTTCGAATATGTAAAATGACACAGTTGGTAAGGAATGAAGCTTGCAAGTATGAGATTGTGGGTTTGAATCTTCTTTTTTATTAATTTTCTTCCTTTTTTGGAGATCAAACTTTAGACTTTCTTTTAGACTTTTGGATAACTTAGTCTTTGTCTAACCTAATTCAAGTCAATAAATAGGACTCTTATTTATTCTAAATTTTTACAGATCCACAAAATCAAAAATTTCATTCCACAAATCCTTTTCTCTCGCCAATCCCAATCACACTACATTATCATCTGCTATTTTACTTCACACACACACTTCTAACCTTATTTTTCTACTTGTTTTCTAAACTCTACTTTTGTACATAGAAAAGCTATTCTCTTATAAACTTGGTACACATTTTTACTTTTACACATTTTTACTCACGTTTCTTTGCAAAGCAAAACCAATAGATAAAAAAAAGTTACACAGAAATTTAGAGACTTTTTTATCCACCACTTTTTGTTGTAGATCTTTCCGATCACTATTCTCATCACACATATTTATCTATATTGTTTTTATACTTATTCATGTCAATAATGTGATGAGAAATTAAAAAAAATAACTACAAATGATGGGGTTTATTTTCATGACCCCTGCCAGATATTTTTCTGATGATAAGTTTTTGTTTATTTGCTTTCAAAGTTTCAAACGTTATGATGACATTGGTGCCAAATCATAACCCTTCTTCACCATTTACATTCAAATGTTACATTTACAGAACCTTCAACCACTTAAACATGTAGCTACACAAGCAGGACAATAACAACTTCACTGTCACTTTCTTGGTAAATCTTTAAGTTGTTATTGTCTTGATGCTTTATTTCAGGTTTGTAATCTACTTTGGAGTCGGTTTGCATTCAACAAAACCTCCGCCGGCCACGACTTTACAAGCCGAGCAAACCCAGTTGGTCGATATCCTTCGCATTCATGCTGACATTGCGGCAGATCCGCATCACCATTCATCAGCAACCTGAAACATCACAAACCTGCAAAAAAATTACAGAATAGTATTCATGAAAATAAGCAGCGACATAAAATTAGAACCAAATAGTTGTTGTCGCCGTTAATTATTATGTGTTTGTTTCTTTCATCCATTTTATTGCTTTACCTGCAGGTTGTTATTAAATAAAAGAAGCAAATAAGAAGACTAAAGCCGCATAATCGCTACCAACAGAACAATGTTGACACTCTTCCAACACTGTCTCTCAAATGCGGTTTCCCGTGCGCAGCAATCACACCACCGGAAAAAGCCCAAGAGTCGACACACCACCGGAAAAAGCCCAAGAGTCGCTCACCGTCGACTGTGAATCTAACGAACTACTAGTGTTGAGCCTCTCCCGACAGAAGTAATTCGTACTGGCAAGAATCCGCGCACCACTTCCAATTTGCGAGCCTTCATACACGATTCACCTCACCTCCACCAAAGAACGCCGCCTATCATTAGACATTATCAAATTCAAATTGTAATTCCCAAGTTGTTAAAGTTGTATTTGGTGTGAAGTTGTATATTTGGATCAATAATTCTAATAAAATGAGCGTGCAGTTTTTGAAATCAATTCATTCGTTTCACTCTTCATCATTACTTTCCATAAATAATCAACAACTTTCCATCTTCACTATTCTTTTCCATTTTCAAATTTTCTTTAACAAACTTCAAGGGAGAATGACGAAAATTAAATAACAAAAATATGCTAATATATACTTTCAATGTAAGACCGAGCTGACGATGTAAGGCATTGTTTCAATTCTTAAACAGTGGAGATATAAGGAGATAATCCATAATCAATCCCCTCAAACCAGGAGTTAGAGTTTTGTTCTATTTTTCAAATAAAAAACCTTAATTTT